ATAACTGAAAATGACACACTCGCACATGCGCACTCTTAGGGTACACCTCACTTGGTTTCCTTCGTAAACGGTCATTGAGTATAGGTCGTTTTAGAGGTCGCCCTCTTGTCTAAAAGATCATAGTTGCCTCGAAATGGTTGCCTCGGATATTGTTGCCTCAAACAAATGATCTAAGACATTAGGGTTACCGCTAAGGCGTCCTAACTTTGCTTTGGTGACCGTATGTCCCTCTTTCGAATTGACCCTAAAAACTCCGACGATGGTGCTACCTACTCATTAATAGTGGGATAGCATTGTCTAAAGGAAATTAGCATAGAATGATTCCTTTTTCGAGTAGGTAGATAGTTCTTAGATACTTGCTCATCCAAAAACAAAACTTTTTCGCACTTACATTCCTTTTCAAACAATGTTTTCAAAAACACTTCATTACACTCTTGAGGACAGAAGCAAGAGTTAAATCGAAGTTAAAATTAAAAAACTTTTCAAAACCCACAAGCACAAAGAAAACATTTTGAAAATGATGAGCAAGTACCTAAGAGCCCGTAGATAACTACAGATAGAATGGGTGCTAATACCTTCCCTTTCTATAATCTAGCCCCCGTACTCAGAAATAATCTCGAAAAAGGAGTTTTTCTGTGCTTTTTTCTTTTCCTTGTTGGATAAAATAAAATTCAGTGGCAACTCTTGCTTACCGTGACATTTTACGAATACAAAACGCAAAACGCAAACCAGCATTCCAAAAAACAGTCAGTTCTTCCCACCGTATCACAGAAGGTTATTACAAAAGTTGACAGAAGGAGAAGAAGAACGGAGATGAAGGTGCCTCCATCAAATCATCGCCGCTCGGTGAAACTAGGATTTCAACATTTGAAACCCTAGTGCTCTCTCTCTCTCTCTCTCTCTCTCTCTCTCTTTTCCCGCTACGCCTCCACCACCACCGATGTTGTACCTGCAAACACGAAAAAGAAAGGAATCAGTAACAGGATCGGAACTCAGAGCTACAGAGAAACGCACGTTAGAGGTGAGTTACTGTGAATACACAGCTTTTGCATTTTGCTTTGTTGTATGTCACGTTGATTTAGAGTTTGGTTGGGAGGTTAGGGAAGAATGCTTTGATCTGGGGTTTCGAGTGGGGGGTCAAGGTTAAACGGCGATGATTTGGGGAGGGATTAGCGGTGCTAGGGTTTTCGTTATGGGGAGAGAGGTGAGAGAAAGAGGTGAAAAGATAAGATGAAAATGATGAAACGATTTGAAAAACAATATATAAGCCTCTTAGTGTTGTGCTCGTCACCCCACACGTGCTACCTTACATCCATCAATCCTACCCGTATAATCATCATCCCACGATTTGAAAGTGTGTTCCCACCGCATTACGATACTCCCTCCCGTATGAGGTCCAGGCGGACCTCCTCTCCAAACCTCACTGGGATAGGCCCAACTATCCATACCCCCCTTTCCTTTTGCTTTGCTAACCATGCACAAATTTTACCTCCCCCTGACCAAATGGGCCCAGTCCAAAATATGGACTTGGGCCCCTACTTCTCACGCCCCCATTTTACTGTGTAGGCCAAACATACACCCCCTGTCTTTTGGGCTTGAATTCAATATCTGAATTCAGGCCTATGCTGTTAGCACCCGCTAGTTTTACTTCTCAACTAAAATTACACCCCTTACGTTTTTATTTTATTTTCTTTATTATTTAATTTTATTATTTTTATATTTTCTATTTTTATATATTTATAGTTTTAATTAATTTATTCAAGTATATTACCTTCCAATTCATACAAATATTATTTATTTTTTGCATTAAATTATTTTTAATCATGCATTTAAATAAAGATTTTTCCAATAATTAATACCTTTAAAAAATATTTAACAAACACCAAATCATTTTTCATAATAAATTAATTTAACAATTAGTTTTCAAAAAAGGAATACGAAGCATATTTTAATTAATCGCGCATTTGGTCCAAAATCTTTGCTATTCACACACCCGGGCTAAGTGCAAGGGGAATTAAAATATCCGCGTAATCCATAAAAAAACATAAGCCCATACGAACTACGAATTGGGACTCTGATTCCTCATAAAAGGATACTTAGGCATACGATTAAAATCGTGGCGAGTTCCCCTATTAAAAAATTAAAACCCTTACCCTAAACATTTAAAACCTAAACCCTGGTATCCTTGCGAACAAAGTATATGAGGGGTGCCTAACACCCTCCCTTCGTCTAAAAGAAGTCAGAACCTAGAATCTCTGTGTACAAAATTAAGGTTTCCTATTAGACTCCCTTCCTTAGGATAAAAACTAGTAGTGGCAGCACGATTTAAAATCCAGTTACAACACAAGGTTATGAATAATATTCATGATAATTATCCTCACGGTTTCCTTGTCCCCTTTGTGCCATAATGGGCATTTACCATATTAAATGAGGATGTTTATGGCCTAGCTCTATGTTGGCCAGCTATGTGGACGGGCCCTGTGTGGACGAGCCATGTTCAGGCGCGCCCTATTCGGGAGAGTCGTATTCCAGCGAGCCCTGTTCGAGCGAGCCTTATTGGGAGAGCTCTGTTGGGCGAGTTCTATTGAGAGAGTCATATTGAGAGAGCTCTGTGAGCGAGCTCTATGGGAGAGCCCTATTGGGAGAGCTCTATTGGTTTGTCAGCTTGTTCCCCTAGTTTGATTGGTGGGGCCTATTTCAAGGGTTTAATGATCCTTTGCTACTTAGGACATAGGGCCTGAATGTACATGAGACCCCTGGACGTTTTTAGTTGGTCGGGACGTAGGGCCCAGATGCACATGAGACCCCGAGACATTTTTAGTTGGCCGAGACGTAGGGCCCGAATGTACATGAGACCTCGAGACATTTTTTATTGGTTAAAACATAGGGCCCGAATGTACATGAGAATCCAGGACTTTTCAGGAGACGAGACACTTAGTTGGGGCATAGGTCCCGGATGTTCATAAGTCCCTCAAGCGCGAGGCCTGCTAAGGGAAAAGCGATTTAGAGTTCTATCCGAGACGTAGGGCCCGAATGTTCATAAGTCCCTCAAGCGTGAGGCCTACTAACGGTGAAGCGATTTAGAGTTCTATCTAGGGTGTAGGCCTCAGATGTTCATAAGTCCCTCAAGCGTCAGCATGTTAAGGGTGAAGCGATTGAGAGTTCTAACTAGGGCGTAGGGCCCAAATGTTCATGTGGATGCCGCATAATTTATTGCACATGATTCGTGTCGTTTTACCTCCTAATACATAACTTGGGGAAGATAAGTGTGTGCTAGCTGAGATTGGTGATGGATTATTATCTATTAGTGAGATATACAGTTAGTTGTCGAACAAGGAGGATCGTGTGGAAGACTCAGCTTGGAAGAGAATCTGGTCCTTGAATGTTCCCAAGAGAATCTGATATTTTGTGTGGCTGTTGAAAAATGATAAGTTGTTTAGGAATTTCAACAAGAACTGAAAGGGTTTGGGGTCAACTGTGTGTAACCTATGTGGCAATGTTTGTGAAATAGTTTTGCATATGGTGAGAGACTACCCTAGAGCCATTCAGTTGTGGAGAAAAGTGATTAATTTAAATATTGTGTAGTTGTTTTATCAGTCTGAGTTGAGTCTGGATGACTGATTTTCACTGAACATTAATCATAATCATAGTTATGTGGTCCATTGGAATATGTGTTGGGCTATGGGATGGTACTACCTTTGGTTTTGGAGGAATAAAGATGATCATGGTGAAGACTTTGAGAGACCATTTGACCCTGTAGATTTTGTTATGGAAAAAATTAAGGAGTATATTGATGCCTTGCGTTTGAATCAGGATGTCATGGGAAGGGTGAAAGTCATTAAGCAACTTGCTTGGGTACCTCCGAGTAAAAACTGAGTGAAGTTAAATACCGACGGAGCGTGCAAAGACGATTTACTAGCGAGGTGCAGAGGAGTTATTAGAAATGAGGATAGTAGATGATTGAGAGGTTTTTCTAAATCTTGGGGCCTTAGCAATGTGTTTATGGATGAATTATGGGTTTGTACGAAGACCTCAAGCTAACATTTTCTTGAGGTTTTAGGAAGGTCGAAGCAAATGTGGATTCTTCCATGGTGGTTCGGGCCATTGACAAGGGTAATTCGAATTTAAGGGAGACCTTAGCCATTATTAACCAGATTCGAAAGCTCATTGACAAATATGAGAAAAATTGTGTGGTTCATTCCTTTAAGGAGACAAACAGATGTGTTTATGCTCTTGCTAATGTTGGTTGTAGAATCAGTCTAGATACTATGGTTTTTAATTCGACGTCAGAGTTCTTATTGAGACTTTTGGACGAGAATGTTAGGGGTGTCCCCTCTTTTTGATTGGTGTATGTGATTTTTGTTTTTCATGGGCCTTTCGCCCTCTTTGTAATTAAAAAAAATAGAGAAAAACTAATTGAATAACCAATCATTATAGATAATTCTTATTTCTTTTGAAGCTTCTTTTACACTTTTTTTTTTTTTTAATTTCAAAAGTATTTTTCATTTGAGTATGTAACTCCTTACAATTGCTTATTTGAAAATTTGAAACGGGTATGTTTTAATCTTTGTTTGTCTTCCAAGAAGAGATCATTAATTTGAAATGTCTCCCTCTCTCAAACCTTTATACTTCAAATCCAAGTGTTAAATTTTACATTTAAGTATATCACAAGAAGGAGAAGCTTTGAACATTGAACAAAAAGAAAGGTTTTATTTACATGTTCAAAGCTTATCATGTGATGGATGAAACCGTTGAAGAATAATAATGCTGATGTTTATAATGTTACCCATTTCTTGATACAAAATCAGGGAACAAATACATTAACCTCGTATCTCAATAATTTAGCATTGCCCATTGATATTTATATTGTAATAATATATCATGACGATGAAAGTTACAAACAGAAATACATAGAAATCTACTAACTACTAATAAACACAAACTCTTGTTCCTATTACAAATTACATATATAATTCCATGAAACAAGAAACTAACTTTGTTTAGTTAACACAAGCTTTAAGTGGCTTCCCACAAAGACAATCATTGTAAACAAAAGAAGAAGCCTCCAAATGATCAAAGGGAACTCCATCAGGAATCTTCCCACACAAATGATTATAACTCAAATCCAAATGCCCAATATAAGAAGCAGAAGCCATAGATTTCGGAATACTTCCTTTAAGTCTATTATAAGACAAATCCAAAACCGTGAAATAAGATCTCACACCAAACACATCAGGTATATTACCTTCCAAACTGTTTCTGCTTAAATTTAAATCACTTATTCCTGAGTTAAAAAGAGTTATTGGAATAAGCCCAGAGATATGATTCATATCTAAATTAAGCGTGGACAAGACCGCCATTTTACCTAATGATTCCGGTATGGGCCCGGAAACTTGGTTTCGAGATAGATCGAGATCTGCGAGACGGTAGATATGAGCGATTGATTCGGGTATCAGCCCGCTGATTTTGTTACCGCTGAGTAAAGCCCTGCTCAGCATTGGAAGCCTGCCGATGTCTGAAGGTATAGGGCCGGTGATCTGGTTGTTACGGATGTCGAGGTGCATTAGGCTTCTTAAGTTGGTTAACGACGGTGGGAGGTTGCCGGAGATGGCGTTATCGGCGATGTTAAGAACGGTGAGACGCTGGAGTCTGCCGATGTCGTAGGGGATAGGTCCGGAGATGCGGTTTCCGATGAGGTCAATGATGCGGAGGAAAGGGAGGGAGGTTATACAGCGGGGGATTTCGCCGGAGATGTTTTTCCAGTCGGCGACGGTTATGCTTGAGAGACGGTTGAGTTTGCAGATGGCTGGTGAGATGTAACCGGTCATGTAGCCGGTGCGGTGAGCTTTTTCGAAGATGGGATCTTCTGACTCGCCGCGGAGGTTGATGTCGGCGACGCGGCGGGAGCCTCTGTCGCAGCTCACGCCGTACCATTTGTGGCAACAGTCGGTGCCGGTCCATGAGTTGAAGATGCCGAGGTAGGGATCCTGGAGAGCCGCTTTGAAGGCTAGTAGCGCCGCCCTGTCTGACGGTGGACATGAGTGAACGGCGGTGGTGAGTAATAGTATTAATATCAGTACTGTAACGGTTGTTGCTTGGTAAAGCTTAATGCTACTCATTGTGGTGGGTGTTGTAGAAATATGGAAATTTAATTTTAGTATATAGTAATGTTTATATAGTATATGATAAATGATATATGATATACTTATGCTATGCTCTAAGATATGAAATGAGTTATGATGGGTTGGGAAGAAAAGTTTCCTGCATGGAATTGTGTTTGTTTGGGGTTCTGACAACGTAGTTATTATATAGGGTTGAATGTTTGAATTTTATGACGAGTTTGCCCTTTACAGAGTTCGTATCTGGTGAAAAATTGAACTGATTTGGTCAATAATTTTGTGTTGTATTTTAATTTTAATAATTGTAGTTGAAGAAATTGAAGGAATATAGGGGTGAAGTTGTGAAAGAGGATAAGCTTGGGGTACTTGTGTGGGGATAGAAGGAATATGGTGCCAGACAAAGAGAGAGAGATTTTAAGGATGCACATGGTGTTCAGAACTCAATTATGAGGGTGAGAGGGAGGGTTTTTCTTCTTTCTATATATTCACTCAACAAATATTCACTCAATCCTGCTAGATATTTGCCATTACAAGAATCATATTTGAAAACTCCAATTTTCTCATCATTTGTGTAACATTTTATTCTATCATACACATTTCTTTCCATTACAATATCAACAACTTATTATATCTATCGCAATATATTTTTTATATTTTTGATGTCGGGTGTCTAAATAACATTTTTTTGGCAATAATTATTCACTTCATTCATTTTTTTAGTTGATGTTTTGATATTATATTAAAAAAAAAAAACAGGAATGGAAGATGCAAGATAAGAAATTGTGTGTTGTTAATTCTTTTTGTTATGCTCTTTGAATTCGTCAGAGATCAAAAAGGATGAGTTTACGATTTATTGTGATGGTTCAAGATTTCCGATATAGTGGAAAGAGAATTGATCTGTAATATTAGAATTTTGACGTTCAAATTAGTAAAAAGTGAAATTAAAATTAAAATGATTTGATACCTGAAGAGTGACACAATTTTCTGTTTAAATAGAGAAGATAGTTGATAATTGTATGCACGAGGGATGCAGTCAATCATTGGATGACCTGAGAGATTGGCATAGTATCCTCGTGATGGATATTCTACGGCGCAAAGGTAAACGAGTCTACCTACTTTTTGTGTGGTAGCTTCTTACTTCGCTATTCGGCCTTCCGCTTCTTAGCCTTGCAGCCAACCCATAACATTTGAGAACTTGTGACATACATTGTTATTTAACCATGGAATCTATGGGTTTGAGCGTTATAGATGGGACATTACTGCTCCGAGTAATGGGCGCATTAAGTGTTGCTTTTGGAAGTTGTAACGTAGCACTGAGAGAGAATGACATGTCTTTACCAATTAGCGACGATGTTACTCCTCTTTAGGAATGCTCGAGTGCTTTTGGTTGTTTCTCGGAAGATCCCCATTGTTGGTAGTGTATTGTTGATCACATGACCTTAAGTGTTTGAACAAAGAATAAAGGATTTCTCAAAGTATTCTTTTGCCTTTTTTGTTGTGAGCTATCTATGAAGAAAGTGTTTTGTTCCTCTATTATTGTTTCTTAAGAGCATTTTGATCTATCGTTGAAGCGAACTTAGATGATCTTGTTCGATGATATTGGTTTATATGCTGGATCAATCCTCCTTCCTAACTCAAAGTCCATGTTTTCTTTCATTCTTATGCTATCTCATTAGAGCATAGAGATAGCTCAAGCTCGCTAAACTTGTTATATATACATCAGTTGTATTTACAACATATTTCAAACATATGACAACAAATTCAATTTCAACCAAGAAGGCTGGTAAGGATATTTCAGATGATTGGAAGGATCCCAGTTTATTAGGATGCCTTAAGTTAGTGTGGGACCCACATCTTCATTTACATCTAGACTAACTACTACATTCCCATCTTCATTATTATTAACATTTCCATTTTCAAGGATATCTTCAGTGACATCTCCACTAACATCTTTACCAATATTTTGAATCACTTCTGCATTTTCATTGGCATCATTACTATATCTTCATTCACTTATTAACCAATTACAACATTTACATATTCATTGTCATCTACATCCTTATCTTCACTGGCATCCTCAATGACATATTTATTAAAAAAAATATTTTCACAAACTTTTATAGGATCAATATTAGAGGGGGCATTATGCATGGGGTTGTTAGGATGAATTTCAGTGGCGGGAACCTCATCATTCATAAATTTGTCAATCACATTATCACTAGGTGGATTATCACACTATTTAATCCAAGTTATCAAACTCATTTATCACATCATCTATGACCTTTTTCTGCTTCTCTACAACTTGATACTTATTACTAGTTATAGTAGTATTACTAGGGTGTATCTTTGAAAATATTAATAGGAACAATGTTAGGAGGAACTTCAATAAGGGGATCTTAGTGATTTCATCAATTATACGAACAATTCAGGTTCCTTGATAGTTTTCATGTTCTCTTGGGAATCAGATACACCATCGGTTAGGTTAGACATGGAAAAGGGAAGGCGATCGAATTCCTTCTTTGAAATCTTCTGCATAAACTCCTTAGGCTTGAATAAAAGGAAAAATACCTTCAGACTTACCATTAACCTTCTCTCCAAGCCATATGCCCTACATAGGAATAATGTGAGCATTCGTAATAGCAACATGCTTTTTGGAGACTTTTTTCTTTGAAATTTTCTTATCTTTCTCAAAAGTCTTTGTACTTTATCTTGTTTCCACCTTGTTGTCTAAAATAATCACAAAGTGCATAGAGAAAAGTGAAAAGGTTAGAAAAATATTTGAGGTGCAGAAACAAAAGAAAAATATGGTCTTTTAAATATTTATTAAATGAGCCTTTTTCGTGTTGGGCCGAAGAATATAAGTGACATGATTTTTATATAATGGGCCGATAATAGTTCCATTGGGCACAACTATTTTTCAGCCATGCATGCTTTAAGTGCTTTCCATAAATTAATAATACAAAGACCTAAGGTTGATTGAATATTTTCAAATTCAATAGCGTCAAGAGCTTTTATGAATATGCCAACCAATTGTTTGTTTGTTCGAACATGCTCAACAATGATTTTCTTTTCTTCAACTATTTCTTTGATGAAAGGATGACGAATATCAATGTGTTTGACTCTTATATGGTGGAAAGGATCTTTAGAGAAATTGGTAGAAGTCAAGTTGTCTCAGTATAATATCATGACGTCTTGTGTCACATTATATTATTTGAACATTTATTTCATCCATAAAATCTGAGTGTAAATGATTCCAACGCCAATATACTCTATTTCTACAGTTGATATAGAGACGTAATTTTTATTTTTACCGAACCAAGAGATTAAATTTTTTTCCTAGAAAAAGCATTTATTGGATGTGCTTTTTCTATCTTCATAATTTCCTGCCTAGTTAGCATCACAATATTCAATCAGTGATGAGTTTGTAATAAAAGAGTGCAAAAGTCCATGGTTTAATGTTCCACTTAGTATTTAATAATCTACTTGACCTGAGTAAGATGACTAGTCTTAAGATTGACTTGATAGAGAACATAAAACCATACATAATATGTAACGTCATGGCGACTCGTAGTGAGATACAAAATACTACCAACCATACTCTTGTAAATGCTTTGATAAATAGTTTCTCCTTGTTCATCCTTTGATAGCTTGATATGAGTGGCAGCATAAGTGTGTTTGTGTCGAGAATTCTCCATTCCAAATTTCTTCACAATGTTATTAGCATATTAGCTTTGGGAAATAAAGATGTCATTTTTCATTTACTTAGAATCCTAGAAAACATGTAAGGTCATCAACCATGTTCATTTAAAATCTAGCCTGCATTTGTTTAAAAATGATCTAACATCTTGCTTGTCATTCCTCCAAGCACAATATCATTAATATATTTGAGAAATTAATGGATTTCCATTATCCTTCTTTATAAACAAAGTTATGTCATTTCCCTAACTTATATAGCCATGCATAGTAAGAAATTTTGTTCATCTCGGATATTAAGCCTTGTGAGATTATTTCAGGCCATAAAGGTATTTATTTTTTTTAGACATGATTGGAAAAGTATGGATTAATTAACCCCTTTAGATTCTCAACTTAGACTTCTTAATTTAAATACCCATTGAGAAAGAAACTTTCTGCGTGCATTTGATAAAGCTTAAACTTAAGGTGACAAGATAACCCAAGTAACAATATGATAGCTTCAAGATGGGAGATTAAAGCAAAAGTTTCATCAAAGTCAACCCATTCAATCTAAATGTATCTCTAGGCCACAAGGCGGGCTTTATTTTTGGTAAAAACTCCATTTTCATCAGACTTATTCTTGTAGATCCATTTTGTGCCAATGATGTTTGCATAATATGGTCTAGGAATAAGTTCCCAAACTTATTTGCTTTAAAATTTAACTATCTCTTCATTTATAGCATTGACCCGTGATTCTTGATGGTTATTCTTTTATTTTAGAACTACATTCTTCATCATCGTCTAAATCTCCATCTCTTTCAGCAGACTATAAGTTATTCTCCAAATTTCTAGGTATATTTTGTGAGTCTTTTTGGTCGTTGGGACTAGAATCTTCATCTCCGTGAGAGATCCTTATAGATTGATCATCATTGACAATGACATTTATGGATTCCATCTTAGATTTTGTGCACTTTTTAAACACCCTATATGCCTTATTGTTAATGGAATATCCTAGAAATATTTCTCCATCATTCTTTGAATCAAGTTTCCTTATTTGTTCTTGATCAATAAAAATGTAGAAAGTACTGCCAAACGCATGAAAATATTTAATGTTGGGCTTCCTACCCCTCCATATTTCGTAATGAGTAACCTTGGTGTCTAGTTGAATAGTTACTCGATTACGATTATAACACACAATATTCATTGTTATGCCTAAAAGTGATAAGGAATTCATTTGGCATCGATCATGACTCTTGACATTTCTTGCAAGGTATAATTCTTCCTTTCAACAATCTCATTTTGTTGATGTATGATGGGAACAGAGAACT